ACTGAATTGTGCATGTAAAAGTTTCTGAAATGGTGTATCTTTGGCTATGTACATTTTCACCAAAAAAAAAAAGGTCGAGAAGTGAGGGTGTTGACATGCTGTGGGGTTGTTAACCAATGTCATAAAACAATACGTGTACTGACTGTTTAATAAGAAACTATTTGTTCTGTAAACCTTCACCTAAAGTACAATAAAAAAATTTTTTTTTTAAAAACTATCAAATATTCCTACCCACTTTCTTTTTGAATCCCAAATACTCTTGGAATCAGTATTATTTATCTGTAATTGTTTGGTGTAAGACTTCTTTCCCTGGCTAGACTTTGGAGAACATGCCTTATGTTGCTTTGCATTATCTCACAGGGCCTAGGTAAACAATGGATATACAACAATCACACCATAAACATTTACTAGAGTGTTGATATGATTATAAAAAGTCAATTTACACACAACTTTGTAAGAATGAAGCTATTTTGTAGAGCAGGTTAGACATGCATAAAGCATTTTCCAATGCTTAAATTTTGTATTTCAAAACTCATTCAGTATAAGTATGGTTCAGCATTTGGCAATTAGGGAAATAATCTGGAAAATCTTGATGGTCCAGCGTCTGTGACTCATTAATTACACAAGCAGACTGTTATGAGTTTTCTTGGTGGAGAAGTAAAATAAACATATAAGATACTTGACTTGCTAGCTGTCATAATGAGTTTTTGAGATGTCGTGTTAGCTACTGTGCCCTCCCAATCTTATTTTTCCATTTTTAGTGATGTAATTTAGAAACAGGAGTCCCTGGGTGGCACAAACTGTTAAGCACTCAACTATTAACCAAAAGGTTGCAGTTCAAACCCACCCAGAGGTGTCTTGGAAGTCAGGCCTGGTGATCTGCTTCCGAAAGATCACAGCCCTCAAAAACCCTATGGAGCAGTTTACTCTGCACACACGCGGTCACCAAAAGTTGGAATCAACTTGACAGCAACTAATAACAACAAATTTAGAAATTAAATATTGCTTATAGGTATTGATTGATCAGTATATTGCTCCTATATACTAAATTAATTGTACAGCAGAACTATAATTTATGATTTTATTACATATGTTGCTAAAATTACTTTTACAGTAAACAATATATTAACATAATAATAGTAACTAAATTTTATTCTGTGCTTATACCTGCCAGGCACTGTTCTTAGGGCTTTACATGTATTAATTCAGGACAACCTTATGAGGCAGGTAATATTATTTCTCTCATGTTACAAATTTGAAGGAACTGAGGCACAAAGGGGTAAGAAATCTACCTAGGGTCATATAAGTAGTAAGCAGAGGAACTGGGATTCCAATCCAGGCAGTCAGGCTCCAGAGCCCCCACTCTTAATCCTATGTTATACTATCTCTCCAAAACAGCAAAACATCACAATATAATGGTGAAGTTTAGATGCTTTGAATACCCAGTAGTCCAGAAAATGTAGCTAACAATGTTCCAATTTGTGCTTGATTATCAACTTTTACTGTACTTTCTTTTAGTACAGCTTAAATTCTATACATATTATAAATATCAAAGTCTAGCAAAGTTCAAAGACATGCTCACTGTTAAAGGCAGAAAAACACGCATAGACCATTTCCTCTCCCTTCCTGGAAGACTCTGAGAATACAAATAAGACCAACACCATTTTAAACATTAGGTAATTTAGCATATCCTTAAATAATGTAATTGGCTGAAAACAAAACTATGAGTTCTTACTTTGAGATTAGCTTCAAAGTATCAAGGAAAATGATCAGATACCAATATTTTTTTTTAATCATCAAATCGATAAATAACATACCTTTTGCTCACTCATACTTTCAAAGAAGATAAATGTTTCCCCTTTTAAGACAAGCAAGGAATTTAATTTCAGTATACCTAACTTTGCTCAAATATGCAAGTGCTTTTAAAAAATACAGTTCTTTTATGTTAGTTAAGAGCATGGGTTCTGAAGTCAGACTGACTGACTTTAAATCCCAGTTTAGCCACTTGCTAGGTCTGGGAATAAAATTTGGTCCTTTGAAAGAATATATCAACTCTTACCAAAGCGCAAACAGACAAAGTACCAGATTTATTTTTCACACCAGACGAACGAACAGTTCTGGTCTCCTTCCCTTATGTGCATCAAAAAAATACTGAAAGTTTCAAAATCCCATGACTTAACACTTGCCCTAAAGTTAAGAAATAGGAATTTGTGGGTTATTTTTGTAGCAAACAGTGGACAAACTCTTAGGCAATCCTAATCACACTCTAGCACACAAAGTGAAATAATATACTATACTAAATAAATTACTCTTTTATCAATCACCACACAATGAATTTAAGGCTTTAAAACTATCTGAAGACTACAAAGGTATTTATGACTAAAATTAATCTTGTTATCACCTAACTAGAAACAGATGAGCAAATAAACACTTTGCTTTAGATAGACAATATCTGAAGACATATGACACCAATCTGAATGCTAATACCTAAAAATGCATTTAGAGTTGTAGTTAGAAATTAATACCAATATATTGTGGCTATAAATCTGAACTAAAAGGTAATATTTAGAATTAACAGTAAAATAGTATAGTAACAAAGAAAAAAAGCATTTATTGGTCACAATGAAAACACTCTATGCAAATAATTTAATATTAGTGTTATTGTTTTAACAGTATATTTTATTAATATAATACTATAGTAAATACTATTTTAATAATACTAAATTTAGCAATAATTTAAGAATTCAATTAGAATTACTAGAACAAATAATTTTATCATCATCCAAAAAATTAAATATCTTCTTTTATCCTACCATTGTAAGTGCAGGGATCAACAAAGGAGATTACACTTGGAACTCTTGAACAACTAAGCTTTCTATAAGCTTTTGTTAGCTCAAGGATCAACTCTTAAGTATCCTCATGACACTAGAGGTCAGCTACAAATTTATCCTAAATAGTCCTGAGAATTTTCTTTAGAGGGCTCACTACTTTGAAATCCTTTCTCTCTGTTCTTGTATCTTTGATGACAGTTTTTCAGCTCTTAACAGAAGCCCTGTTAATGTTCTCCTCTCCTGAGTGGCAGGTAGAGTACTTCAGGTGAATACTTAAAGAGGGCAGAAATCATTTTCTTCACAATTCCAAGAACTATACAGTGCTCTGCAAACTCTAAGGTGGGAGTGGGGGAGGAGAGTAATTCAGATATTTTCCCCTCCTTATCTGCTTTGATTGGGTATCAATTGCATATGCAAGGTCGGCAGCAATTACAGTAACATAAAGCAAAACAAACAAAATCAACTAATGTAAATGGCCAGGCTAAAACACTTTCCCTGAGATGTAAAATAACCCATTTATTTCAATCAGCAAATTGTTAAAAGATACTCCTGATTATAGGTCGGGAAAATTGGACTTTTTTACATTACAGACTTGTAAGGTAAAAATGGACACATAACTTTTTTTTTAATTCCTTGAGACATAGCTATATAACTGTAAATGTGGACAAAGCGCAACTAATTGGCTCAAAATAGGAATTTTTATCTTTATTTCCTTCAAGGAAAGAAATATCTGGGAAAACTGATGTAATCTACCAATATCCCACACATTTGCCACTCACAAACAAAGATGAGGATATCACTTCAATTTGCTGACGGTGGAGAAACTGTTGTTACTGGTCGGTGCTGTTGAGTTGATTTCGACTCATAGTGACCCAATGTGGCAGAGTAGAACTTACCCCATATGGTTTTCTAGGCTGTAATCTTTAAGAAAGCAGATCACCTACCTGGTCTTTTCTCCCTTGGATCTTCTAGGTGGGTTCAAAATGCCAACCTTCTGGTTAGCTAAGCATTTAACCACTGCACCACCAGGGCTCTTGGTGGAGAAACCAGGAACATATTTATGAAACCAGAAATATCATGCCCTTTTCACTTTCATGAAACACATTCTAAAGGAATTTTAATACTTTTCCTGCCACTGTATCTCAGCAAGTCAGCAAGCAAGCTATATCACATTAAATCAATCTAAAGACTGGGATTTAGAAGTGAAAAACATGATTGCTAGGATGGTTGACTGAGCGGAAATACACTACATAACTACTGCCTATAGGGTTATCTGCCGCACCCCCCCCTTGACTTATGTCCTACAAAAGATCACTGTTTAAAAAAAAGACACTGTAAACTAGTACTACTCTTTAACAAAGCTGAGTATAGGGAATTTTTAGACAAATTTGATTTATTATATTATTCTTATCTCTGCCAGTGCCTGTTATCATATCAAACATATCTTCACTCCTTGCAACTTTCCCAACTGGCAAATGAAGATTATTTTCACTCATTGGGATGTCAAAAGTCTTCATTAAAGTTTGTCCAGCATTTTAAAATATATAGATAAAGCAGTTATAATAAGGAATTTATAAAAAGTTATGTATTGCCTTAGAACTCTCACAGAAGTAAAGGTTGTAGTGTGTTAGCTGCACTCTATTTTTTAAACAAACTTTACTGCTTCTGCACGTATTTTTCAAAGAAAAACAACCTTCAACATTAGAGAACAGAGACATTAACCTATCCTTTGGGGGGATTAGTGTCTAATCTAACCCTAACTAAAGACCAGGAATCAAAATCTTTCTAAGACTGTGACTGGAAAAGAAAAGTTTCTATCAGGTTACGATGACCAGTAGAGAAATCAATTTGGAGGAGACAAGGAAAAGCAGAAGTTCCTTTGAGGAAAACCTGGAACAGTTCCTGGCTTTACACGATGCTGTTATTCATTCCCAGCAATTTAAAAAACTACTCCAAATTATATTTAAGACACAACACTCAAACAGAATTAAAGTATAGCAAGCTTTAATTTTACTTCTTTCTCTTTCAGGTTCGAGTTTATATCAGAATCAAACCTTATGGTCATACATTAACATTGCTTTTGTCATTTCCAGGTACTTTTATTATGTATAGGCTTTTTCAGGGTAAGGAGGGGGGCTGGAGGGTAGTTGGATATAGTTGTCAACTTACCATATTTTCAGTTTTGAATTCTATATGCTTTTTTCATTTAACCAGTAACATCTTAGAAGATGTGCCTGTGTTAGAAATAGGAATGATGACATGTTGTTGTGTGCCATGGAGTTGATTCCAACTCATAGCGACCCTATAACCCAAACCCGTTGCCATCGAGGAGATTCCAACTCATGGCGACCCTATAGGACAGAGTAGGACTCCCCCATAGGGTTTCCGAGGAGCGGCTGGTGGATTCGAACAGCCAACCTTTTGGTTAGCAGCCTAAGTTCTTAACCACTGCACCACCAGGGCTTCAATGTTGACACAGCAGTGTGTTTTTGGATGTTCTGCATCTTTCCAGCCCCCAAGTGCCTATGCTCACATTATTCCTGCTGCCTGGACAGCCATATCCTACCTCCACTTCTGCAAAGCTAAATTCTGTTCATTCTTCAAGACCCACCTCAAATACTCCCTTCCCTGGACTCTCAACATTTTCTGTTTCTAATATTCAATGTTTCTAGCAATAAAAAATGTTTAACTAATTGTGTATCTGTCTTTTCTACTATACGGTGAGATCCTCCCATTTAAAAAAAAAAACCTCTCATGTCATGACTACAGACACAAGAAAACTTGAAATATAAAAAATAAAATTTCAGTTCAAAATAGTTTTTAAAACAGATGACATAAGCAGCCTAGTTATTCAATCAGTGGGGATGCTAGAACCCACTGTCTTCATTCTTAGCTGAACTCAACTAACTTGACTATAAACTCTTTCAAGGGCAGGAACATCTCGTACATCTTCCAACCCCACATCAGTGTCACCTAATATTCTGCACACATTGTCTCAATACAAATCCATAGTACTGTAGATGCCCAGACTATGATTAAAACACAAAGATCAGACCCTGAAAAATACTGAATTGTAAAATGATAAAACAGTGTTGTCAGTGTTTAGAATAACCTCAATGTCTACAACAAAAATGGTGTCAAAGATAAAGATGCTACAGAGTGGGACAAGGATGGCGACTAACTTTACTGAGAAGAGGGCACAATAAACAAATCGAAGTGAAAACAAGAGTGCTCTCGCATTTTAGCATATACTCCCAGAGTAAGACAAGACTCAAAATATATACTTTTTAACTATTACTTCATTAATAATGATGATCTTAGTAGTTTTAGTTTCCAAAGTATAAAGAAGTGTCATTAAGCAGAGACCTCCAGTACTGGGCACAGACCTCCTTGTACCTTCAAATAATTAGATAACACAGGCCATGAATGATCAGGACACTCTCCCCAGGAGGGTACAAGAAAGTGACACGGGTCAGGACCTAATCTCCCTTCCCTTCTCCCTTGCACGAGGAGATAAAACCTCAAGTGTGGCAAGTACCTGAGTTGTTAAGAAGTGAGTTTGAAGACTGCCCCACATGAAAATGACCTTCCCACCGCACTTGGTGGTACAGAATGACAGTACAGAACACTCCCTCCAGTAGAAGGGGATGCCGGGAGGCCGACAAAGGACTTACCTGGTTTTTCTGTTCTATGGTCAAATCTCCGGAGCTACGCAGACCGTGTCAGCAATAAATCCAAGAGCACGGACTTCAATCTCACACACTGGGAGAAGTCACAGCAGCTGCGGTGGCTATGGCAGTAACAGCGGTGGCGACCGCAACTCCTCCCTCCGCTTCTTTTCTTCCTCCACCCCTTGCCGCTACCGCTACCGCCTCCCGCTTTACCCCTCCTTCCCTTCGCTACCCCCACTTCCGGGTGATGCCCCGGCCGGAAACAGGGCCGACAAGGGGGAATGAGAGAGCGAGAAAGAGAGAGAGCGCACGCGCGCGGAAAGCGCGTCACGTGAGTCAGAAACACAGGAACGGCAAGCTTCTCCCGCCCCCTGCTGCCCCTGCGCTGACACGCAGTCCCGTGCGGATCTCTTCGCTTTGGCGCTGTAGAGCTCTACACCCCAGCTCCACAAAAAAAAAAAATCAACCAAAAAAACCCCATCAAACCCGTGCCTTTGTCACCTGTAATCTCCTAACTTCAAACCAAGGGGAAGAGGTTATCAGTGGACCATAAGAACTCCTTTTAAGTCGTCATCTACACCATTTTATCTTTCCCCAAGTTGAAATTAGCTTGTTTCTGTTAGACTGTATTACCTAACTCCAGATGTAAATGCTAGAGCTGTGATCTTACCCTTATTTTTTCATCGAAAAATGATCTCAAGGAAAAAGTGTTTTCAAATTCATAATCTTTATGTGTGAGTGTGTTGGGGGGGAGGGGAATCTCACCTCACTACCTTCACATGCCATCCCAAGCTCTGAACAATTTCCCCATTTACTCATTCACTCATCCACTCATCCATCATTTTAAACATCTACAGGACTCCAGGGATACAAAAATTAGAGTATCACCATAAGTTTAGATAGATGAGAAGCATAAAATGTAACAATACAATGCAATAAGTAAGTTGTACAAGAAGCATTTGTGAAAAGTGCATTCTCTTGTTGTTCTTAGGTGCAGTCCAGTCCGTTGCGACTCATAGCGACCCCATGTACAACAGAAAGAAACACTGCCAGGTCCTGCACCATCCTCACAATCATTGTTATGCTTGAGCCCACTGTTGCAGCCACTGTGTCTTATTACTATTTTCCAATTTGACATTTTAAAAAACAACACAATTTTAGGATATTTAAAAATATCATTAACAGTAAAAGAGGGAGCAGCTCCATCTCACTTATTCCTAAGCAATATGTGGCCTTTTCATATTTCCTTTCATTAAATATGTCATAAGATGTAGGAGGAAACTAATCACAGGACTGTTTGTATTTTCAACTGGAACCATTTGAGCCCAGTACCCATAGAAGAATAGTATCCCAAAAGAGTAAAAAGACAACCTACAGACTGGGAAAAAAAATTTGGCTACCACAAATCTGATCAGCGTCTAATCTCTAAAATCTGCAAGATACTGCAAAACCTCTACAGCAAAAAGTCAAATAACCCAATTAAGAAATGGGCAAAGGATGTGAACAGGCACTTCGCCAAAGAAGACATTCAGGCAGCTAACAGTCACATGAGGAAATGCTCATGATCACTAGCCATTAGAGAAATACAAATCAAAACTACAATGAGATACTACCTCACCCCAACAAGGCTAGCATTAATCCAAAAAACAGAAAATAATAAATGCTGGAGACGTTGTGGAGAGATTGGAAAACCTATACACTGTTGGTGGGAATGTAAAGTGGTACAACCACTTTGGAAATCGATTTGGTGCTTCCTTTAAAAGCTAGAAATAGAAGTACCATATGATCCAGAAATCCTGCTCCTTGGAATATATCCTAGAGAAATAAAGAGCCATCACACGAATAGATATATGCACACTCATGTTCACTGCAGCACTGTTCACAATAGCAAAAAGATGGAAATGACCTAGATGCCCATCAACAGATGAATAGATAAACAAATATATTCACACAGTGGAATACTATGCAACGATAAAGAACAACAATGAATCCGTGAAACATCTTATAACATGGAGGAATCCGGAAGACATTATGCTGAGTGCATTTAGTCAGTCGCAAATGGACAAATATTGTATAAGACCACTATTATAAGAACTCAAGAAAGCTTTAAACACAGAAGAAAACATTCTTTGATGGTTACGAGGGGGGGAGGGAGGAAGAAGGATATTCACTAACTAGATAGTACACAAGAATTATCTTAGGTGAAGGGAAGGGCAGCACACACTACAGGGGAAGACAGCACAACTGGACTACACCAAAGCTAAGAAGTTTTCTGAATACAACCAAACACTTCGAGGGACAGAGCAGGAGGGGCAGGTGTCTGGGGACCATGGTTTCAGGGGACATCTAGGTCAATTGGCATAACAGTTTATTAGGAAAATGTTCTGCATCCCACTTTGGTGAGTGGCATCTGGGTCTTAAAAGCTAGCGAGCAGCCACCTAAGATGCATCAATTGGTCCCAACCACCTGGAGTAAAGGAGAATGAAGAACACCATAGACACAAGCAGAGTATTAGCCCAAGAGACAAAAAGGGCCACATAAACCAGAGACTTCATCAGCCTGAGATCAGAAGAACTAGATGGTGCCCAGCTACCACCAATGACTGCCCTGACAGGGAATACAACCGAGCCCGACAGAGCAGAAAAGTGGGGCGCAGAACTCAAATTCTAGTAAAAAGACCAGACAATGGTTTGATTGAGACTGGAGGGACCCCAGAAGACATGGCCCCTGGACTCTCTGTTAACCCAAAACTAAAACCATTCCTGAGGCCAACTCTTCAGACAAAAATTAGACTGGACTATGGGACACAAAATGATACTCATGAAGAGTGTGCTTCTTAGCTCAAGTAGATGTGTGAGACTAAATCGGCAGCTCCTGTCCAGAGGCGAGATGAGAAGGCAGAGGGTCAGAAGCTGGTTGAATAGACACAGGAAATCCCGGGTGGAAAGGAGTGTGCTGTCACAGTACAGGGAGTGCAACAAGGGTCATATAACAATGTATGTATAAATTTTTGTATGAGAGACTAACTTGAACTGTACTTTCACTTAAAGCACAATAAAAAAAATAGTATCAACAAGGAAAAGATTAGTCCAAAGGACTAATTG